ATTCACCTTATCCTCAGCTATGGGCTGAAAATTACTGCAAATCCTTTCGACAGATTAATTTATTTAATCCTCATAACAACTCTGCAAAAGAGGTTCTATTATTTCCTTCTCTTTATAGAAGAGAAGTTCAGCAGTTTTTCTCAGATCACACAGCTGGTGAACTCTAGAGCTGGGATTCACACCGAGACACAGCACTTCCAGAGTTGTGCTAAATGCAAAATAGGATTAATAAAAAGTCAAGTTATTCTAACCAAAAAGTACCACTAGGCAGATAAAAAGATTCACTGAAGGAGGTGAGATTTCATATAATTCAGGATGACCTCATCTTAATTACACACCTGCATTTCCTTATTTCCAAATGAGACCCATTCTGAGGCTCCAGGTAGACATGAACCTTGGAGGTCACTATTCAACCCAGGACAGGATCCCCTCCCACCATCTGTGACCAAAGAGAGGATTCTAATTGACTTTCCACATGACAAGCCTTCGGATGGTTGGCAAGAGCTCTCCTGTCCACAGATCTCCCCTCCCTACCCCACCTCACCTGCCCAAGGTATCTCTCGCCCTGGCTACACTTGCCCAATTCAGTCAGTCTACACTGGCAGAGCCCCTGGTGGTTCTCAGTCCCCAGGAAAGTTCCCTCACTGTCCAAGTGGCCCTGCTTTGGACACCTTCCATTTGCCAATGTCTTTCGCATGAAGGGGTATCCACAACAGATATTCTTTTCCAGGAGTGGACAGACCGATACAACATACAGTGAACCCTATGAGTTGTCACTGAGCACTCTGATTATAGTTGGGCCATGACTGCAGGAGCCATTTGTTCCAGGTCACTCAGGAGAGTTGAGTAATAGTTCTAGTTCTGGCTGTAACTCTGTAAACAGAAGTAAATCAAGATTTCGGTGCTTACATTTCTTAACCTTTAGAAAAAGGAATCCTTGCCCTAACCTGTTTGACAATGATGCTGTGAGGACAAATATCAGATTGGTACACAAGACTCAGATAAAATCCTCAGATAAGAATGCATAGGAAGAATGTGGCTATATACTCATAATGCGATGGAATTTAACCTTGCTTTATGTCAGGGGCTCCTTTGATAAGCCAATGAAATCTATGGTGCACTTCCTCAGAAAATGCACGTAAGCATGGTCACACACATATACATAAGCTTCAAAATTATTAAGGACTTAAATTACGCTGGATTTCAGATATGGTTTCTCTCCATTCTCTAATAAGAAGTGATTTGGAGCCTGAGTATTACATGAATACAGCAAACAGTATTCTTTCTTGATTCACAAGTAGCTGTTCCAGTTTAGAACTGAGGCTATTAAGCTGGTTCAGGAACTCCAGGACATCGTGTGGCCATACTTGGAGTGGAGTAGAAATTTTTTTGGATTGAATTGAATGTCTATGGATGGTGAGCCACCCTTTCTCTGTAGCAATATCTCTGAAGTAAAAGAAGTTGGTCTTTAGTGTCCATTTTCTCATTTTTTGCCTTTTCTCCCCCTTTTCTTCTTGTGAGGGAGATTGGCCCTGAGCTAACATCTGTGCCAATCTTCCTCTATTTTATGTGAGATGCCTCCACAGAGTGGCTTGATGAGCAGTGCTAGGTCCATGCCTGGGATGTGAACCTGTGAACCCCAGGCTGCCGAAGTGGAGCACACAAACCTAACCACTATACCACCGGGCTGGCCCCTCTCCCCTTGTAATAGCCCCATTTCAGGAAAAATTCACTCATCTCACTTTGACAAGATGAAATTGATCCAATAAAGTAATCCTCACTAATATGTGAGAAAATCAGGGTCTGGGACTATCCCACGTGTGGAGTCAGCCTTAGGAAAGTTCACTACAGTCAGAGGAGCATAGTTATCGAAACACATGATTTACTAATAATGGAAATTCTGATAATGGTGATGGAAATAATTTGGGACAAGGACACCTTTCTAGTAATAATGTACTTTTTGCATAATTTTTACATAATTTATAGTCTTTGTATAGTCTCAAACTTTCCAAAGTCCTCTCATTAATGTGATTTCCTTTGCTTCCCTCCAAAAGCCAAAATGGGAGGGGAAGACAGAAAATGCCTGTTTTATAGATAAGGAAATTGAGTCCTTGAGACTGCCTTAAATCTTGCAGTTAGTAAGAGGTGGAGCCAGGACTTTAACTCGGATCAGATCCTAAAACCCACTCTCCTTTGCTATATAATAAAGGAAATCATGTACATAAAACAGAGTTTCAATTTTCAAATGGCCTCCCTGAATCCAAGATGTAGTATGACTTCAGGGGTAGCAGCGGGTTGTCCCAGGAATTGGAAATCCTATAATCTTCTCTCTTTCTGGGTAACCTTAACCTGGGTGTAGGGTAGAGTTGACTTCGCCTCTACCTGCTCCAAAATAGGAAAAAAGTCTGTCCCTGTTCTTCCTGATGCCTGAGATCCCTTTAACAATGAGCAGTGCCTTGCGCTCCACAGTAAGAGAGAGGACCGGAAACATGAATATCTGCTGATAGGTCAATGCAAATGGCTGATATCAAAATTTTCTCTGAAAATAAGTCTTAACAGGGGAGAGGGCAGGGAGAGAAGTCATCAGCTGAACCAGGACTGTCTGAGGCTGCAGAGAGCCAAGGGGAGAGAGAAAGGTCAGTGTCTAAAAACCAACGGCACTTGCCTCCTTCATCTTGGCAGTGCTCCCCCTCCACACGGTTCTCATTGCTCAGAGAAGGACAAAATGAGTATCCTCTTGACCACAGGAAACACAGTGCTTCTCAGAGTGTGGTCCCCAAGACTAAAACATCTACATCACCCAGAAGTGCTGGTTAAACATGCAGATTCCCAGGCGCTTCACACTCCTCAGCAACCCACCCACACATCTTTCCAGTTTAGGTCTCTGGGGCTAGACACAGGAATTTGCCCTGGTAGCAAGCTTCCAGGATGTCTTTTGTGAGCATTAAAGTTTAGAAAGTTTAGAAAGTAGAGGCTGAATTAGGTCAGGAGAACACTGAGGAATACAGTCATGTGCCACATTACAATGTTTTGGTCAACCATGGACCACATATATGACAGTGATCCCATAAGATTAACACCACATAGCTATACCATCTGGGTTTGTGTAGGTACAGTCTATGATGTTTGCACAACAACAAACCCTCCTAATGATGCAGCTCTCAGAATGTATCACTGAAACGACACGTGACCATAGTCACTTTTGAAAGACCTTGAGGAAAACACCTCAATGAAAGCTATTTTATGGAATTGCTTTTAAAATTCTTCTCTTTCCTTATGTTAAAATCATTTGGTGTATTTTTTTAAAATTATGCAAATCTGTGCATATATCATTCTGTTAGATGCGCAAATGTGATCTATATCCATATCTGTGTACAGGCTATTTGAATTTCTTTTCCCTTTTTGCACAGCTCTCCCCACCTTTTTCTCCCCTGCCTACTCTCATCTCCATCAGCTCCTCAGTAATCTATACTGCAATCCAGTCTCTTATCTCCTGTATAATCACACATGCTCACACAAACACATATCCTCAAAGCTATATGGGTAGATGTTGTTTTTTGCATTACTAAAATAGAAAAATATTTTACATTTTTTGTGTATCTTGCTTTTCTCACTCAACAATACCTAATAGAAATCCTTCCATGTTACAAGGTTTAACTCTAACTTAATCTTTCCAATGATTGCATACGATTTCACAGCACAGATGAATCATAACTTATTCAATCATTCCCCTATTGACAGATGTAATTTGTTCCCAGGTTCCTGCTGCTATGGACAATGCAGCAATTAATATCTTTGTATTGTATATGTATGCTTTCTTTCCAGGGGACAGATTCTTATTCATAGGATCGAGAACTGTATAACTGTTTGTTACAATAATAATTAATATCAGTATTTTGGAGGATAATATATATTTTTATTTTTAGTAACTCTTTCCAACTTGTTTTCCAAATAAGGTAATATTGTAACCAGTAATTCACAGGAGTGCTCTTTTCCCCTTTACATCTTCTTGTTATAAAAATTTATATTGGTAGCAAAATGTAATTAGTTACATAAATCGATTATACTGAATTTTTAAATGTCCTTCACCTTACAACATGCTAACTTTTGAAATTCCATTTGAGTTTTGCAAATATTTCACATCACAAGTCGATAAGTATTGAGCTCTGAAGTGCTAAACAGGTATAATCAAGAAAACAAAGAAAAGCAACCAAAAAACAAAAACAGTTTGCCTTCAATGAGACTACCTTCTAAATATTTTAGAAAAATGATAGATAGATAGATAGATAGTTGGCTGATAGAAAAAAACCTCTAATATTTGTCCTACCTTGCCAACAGCCAAATCTGATAAGGCCAGTTTTTATGCATCTATAAATATGCCTGACCAGCCAAGGTCAAAGAACATATTCTGGGAACAATAGCTATTCTCTTCATTTTTTTATGACACTGAAGAAGAAGAAAAAGAGCTGTGACCTGGCTAGATCCACAGACTTCAACCAGCCCTTGTTTGATCAGAACATCTGGAAATGTCCAGCAAGGCATCAAGGTGCAGAGACGGTTAACCTCTGGCAGAGTCCCAAGTGCCACTTCCAGTTCATGGGAAATGGCAGGACTCAATGGGATGTTTAAGGGAAACAAGAGCAGTAGAGAAGAGGGTAGAAGAAGAGCTGGTGAAGGGACAGAGAAAGCAGTAGGTCTGTGAGCTAAGGGGGGAAAAAGAAACAGCTTAATTATAGAAGAAAAGACAGACACATAGGATAGCTCACACAGGCAGAGTTGCTGTGGAAGCACATTCCAGGAAAATCTTAAGAGATTACTTTAATAATAAACCATGCATTCTTCAGCAAGCCATCACGGGATTAACTACCCCTCTCCTCGGCGGGGAGCACAGCCGTCAGTTTTTTACTTTTTTTCCTTCTTCCTCACAGGCAGGTTTTGTACAAGGAGAAGAGTCATGCAAGGATCCTAGTTTTTCAAATATTGCATTGAATTTTCCTCACCTGAATTTTCTAAATGTGAATTTCAGCGGTGAGAAGAAAACACCATGGTTTAGGCAGGGTTCACGTCTGAGTGGGCTTGGATCTGACGCTCCAGCAGCAATGGTGCTCATGTTAGACCTACTGAAAAGTGATCAACTTCAGGGAGACAGAAGGCTACGTTTCACCAGGGATAAAAAGGGTTAAATTTACTTTCATTCTTCTTTCTTTTTTTTTCCTTAATGTGAGCAGGACACTGAATTATTGCCAGAAGCAATATCAGCATCCCAGAGAAATAAAAATGCACTTCAAATCAGAGTTCTCCACTGTCGACCCCTAAGCTTTCTGTGTATAATGACAGAGCTGTCCATTATAGCTGTATGTGTGAGCCCACTGCTCATAACCGAACTCTTTTCCTCAAAGTCTTCTCTTGAAACTACAGCTCATGGTAGATGAAATATTTTCTTCCTCTGGCTTTCTTAGACAAACCCCTTCCATTTGGTGGGGAAGAGTAAACATAAATTAACATTTCTTGGTCAGAGTCTTTAAAAAATACGTCTGGGTTGTCACTTCTGAGTTGAGAAAGTGTTACATATTAAGGATAAGAGAGGGATTCATTTCTTTCGAATTGTCAAAGCCTCTATTTGCCTGAAATCAGTTGTCATTTTTCCAGCTATTCGGCCTTTGGAATTGAAACCATCCCTCTGGACTTCAGGATCTCAGAAATAAAGCACTACATCCTAAGATGTACCAGAATTCAAGTTCTCTGCACAAATGTTATAAATACCATCCTAAGACTAAAGTTTATATATCTCTTGTCATTCATACGAAGTCATTTTTTTTTAATAATAGCAAATTAGCTCAGAGGAATATTGAAAACTATCAGCACCACCTTCCCCATCCCTGCATCCCCATGTGTGAGGAGAGGCAGATGGTAGAAATAGTAGAGGCCAAGAGAGGTAATATTCTCATTGTCGCCAGTCGTGCTGCTCTGGGCCCCTGGGTGCCTGGTTGTTCCAAGCCTGACCTACTTGAGAGCAGGGACTGCCACTCACATTCAATCGCCCCAAATTACACAGTGGCTTTGCAGTCGGGGCTAGGCTGGGACCACAAAATACATCCTTGGTGTCCCATGTGCCCAATTTGAACCCCCAGTTTCCAGAGGTAAAATGCAAATCCACTGTGTGTTGCTTACTCAATAAAATCGATAACCCCTTCCCCTCCAAGTCACAATTTGGCGCTTTCACATTTAACACACTATCTCCCACTTAAAAATAAATAAATAAAAGGGAACATAGGCATGCTTTTCATAAGAGTAATTTCATAATTCTTAAAAAGTAACAGAGCTTGTGGGGATGCTTTACAATTGTTCATGACTTTAAAAGATGGAGAAAATGAATTCCCAGCTTGTTAAGGTTCACTAAGATCTGCTCAACACTGTATGTCGACATTTTCAAATATTTCCTTTCTCATATTTTATATTTTTCATGGAGGTACAGGAGACACTATGGAAATCAGTGGGGAATAAAGTCTTGTTGTGTCTACACGTGGATGGACACACTGTGAGGGAAGCCAGTATACAATCTTTGTTTATATCAGATATATAGCTTATTTACATAGGTTATATAGACGTGAACATTTTTGTTTATATCGATTTCATAGAAAGAGAATTGTTTTTATATCTGTATATACAGGTTTATATTTCATACATAAATACAGTATGTTTCACATATACACACACAGATTTCCCACCGATTTAAGTGCACCCACATCTGCAATGAAAGAGACACGAATTCCTTTAAAGGGGGCAATACACGTTCAACTGTGGAAACAGCAGACCTGAGCTGGGATCCACTGCCTCTTGCCAGCAAAGTTAGGAGTAAACGCAGCCCTTTGTTCAAAGGGGCCCCTACGGGTCAGGACGACTTCGTGTGCCACATCACTCCAAGTGGCAATCCAGAGAAGGAATTTGTGAAATGAAGGTCGGGTGGATCCCACCCCTTTCCCGCGGAGTTTCCCTTTCCTGTCCTTATTTGCACCCCGCCCTGTCCCGCGTCCCCAGCCCCACGAGCCTGGGGCTGTGGACTGAGCCCTTACTCCTTTCTCCTCCCCTTCGCGTCGGTTCCCTGCGATCGCCCCCCGCTGGCGGGGCTGCCGAGCCGAGGGGATCCGGGTCCTCTGCATGACTGCAGCCCGAGTTAATAAACAGTTAAGTTTGGAAGACTCAGCAGACACGTTGAGGGGGAGTTACCAAGCCCAGGCAGCAAAAACATCCCGGCGCATTCCTGGGGAGTCCTCAGCTGCCAGCATCTGATTAGAACCATATCTGCCGGGAGTGGCCGCGCGGCTCCGAGGCTCCCTCCCGGCCGGCGGCTATTTAAGCGCGGCCGCCCGGTCGGCTGCGCGGCAGCCTGGAGGCTCGGGCACCAGGAGTCATGCTCGCTTCGCGGAGGCGCTAGCCAGCCTGTGAGTAGCTTTCAAATCCTTCTTCCCTTTGGCTCCATTTTTTCCGACCTTCTTCCTTCCTTTGCTCTCTCCCCGCTTAGGGTGCAGACCTGGGACTGTTGGGGAATCTTAGAAATAACACTGTGCTTGGGGAAACAAGCGGGTTTGTGGCCTGACATCCGAGGAATGCGTCCACGGAATGCATCTTACCTTTGGGGTCGGCCTCCAGATGTCCAGCTTGTGACATTTAACAAGCGCCTCCCTTTTGTGTGTGTGTGTGTGTCTGTGTGCTTGTTTAAAAGCTCTGCGGGCAGCCGTGGTAGGACGCCGGTGTGGCAGCTAACCGCCTCATTAACTCCTCGAAGGGTGTTTCTTTCGCCTTGTGACAAAGGCTAGGGACCTGGTCTGTGCCCTGGAGAAGTTTTTTCCTGGTGACTGACAACGGATGGCATTAAAATGTGAACTTTGTCTCACACCCGCATTCTTAAGAAAGTATCTGCCCAAAAGACTGAACTAACTTGTTTTAAAACCCCAAAGCCCTGAGCGTTTAGATGGTGTTTGCCTGCTTGCTGGAAACTGGCTGGAAAGATTAAGCAAGAATTCTAGAAAAGGGGGAAAAAATGAATGGGTTAAAACCATGGAGCCCCAGTCAACATAGCGGTTTTCATGGCATAGAGCTGACTCTGTTATTTGTTTCTGCCGTCCTTTGCTCTTAATTTTTAGTCTGGAATTCAGGTCCGCAGTCAGTTTCACCAGGGAGCTGTTTGAGTCCAAAGGGAAATTTTACTGGATTAAAAACACTTAAAGAATCTGGATGTTATCTCCACCCCATCCACCCCCCACTTTTTCCTCTTTCTTTTTAGTTTGTGTTGGGAAGGAAGAGAGGCACTCTGTAAAATGAGAAGAGCAGAAATAAGCTTCCAGACACATGGAAAGACTTAAAAATTATGGAGGGGCGACTTCATGAATAGTAAATGTTGTTATTGCACTATAAAGTGACTTAATGAAAGAATTTCTGGCCCTAATCAGCCAAAGCAAAGGAGTGCGGGAGACGGAGGTAAGACAGAACTAATTCAAACAGAAGTAACGGCTGAGGAAGAAAGGCAGCTACAAAAATGCCTTCAAGACGTCTGATAAGGCTCTGGGAATGGCTTTGATGGGGGATATAATAGATTTTCCTACAGGCTTGAGGTTGGCTCCCCACACAGGAGCATCTACTGTCTATTGGGGAGGGAGGAGCTAGCTGGGAAAGGGGGAGCATTGCAGATACCAAATGGCTTGTTTCCATGCTCTATGACACTCTCCATTCTTGCTTCTTACACCGGCAGCCAGATCTTGATCAGGCTGCTCTGCTTCGGGACAGGTGCCCCACTCACCCCAGGTTCTGTCTCTACCTCGTTGAAGGGAGATAGGCCTCAATGACACTGGAAGAGAGTTTATTGCCTTGAGAATTCAGGAGTATTTGGGATGGAACTCTCCTTAATCTTTGGGGAAGGACCTTTTGGTGAAGTGCTGAGTATATGGCAGTCAACAATGTCACACTTATACAACATGGAGTGTGCAATGTGGACAGTCTCCTAGAAGGAGCACAAAGGAGGCCTCGTGGTCTTTTCCAATGTGTGTTTCTGGGACAAATTACTTCTTCTAAATTCCTAATCAGTTTCCTTCTAAGACAGACTGGATTCTTTTGCCTGTCGTTGGTGAATTAACTTAATTCCCCCTTCCCTTCCCGCTCCCAACTTGTCTCTTCTTATCCAAATGACTGCCCTAGAAACCAGTTCTTCTGAACGTATACGTTCCTCCATTTTAACGTGTGACCAGAACAAGCAGATGTTAAAGGAAAGTCTTCAGCTTTGAGCGATGACACACATGCAGTTGCCGTTCTGGTGATCTTGGGCACCGTTAACCTTCACCTGAGTGTGTAAGAGAGGGAAGGGAGCCACAGCACTTTAAAAGCCTTGCTTAATTTGTTAAGGACAGAATCCAGAGTCTGCATTTTCACTCAAGACTTTTATAGTTTTAGATTCAACTAAAAGTCCAAATTCCTATGTATGAGGCTTATTTGTTGCCTTGCTCAAAAGATTGAATTGATTTTTGTCACTGTTTGGGTTGAAGGGAATTGCCTTTAAGATACTAGTTGGCACAAAGGTCGTATAGGGACCTCTGGAGGCTGCTGACCAGCTGGTTGGGGGTGGTATTTATTGGCCTCCTCGGCCATGCCTCAGTTATCTGAAGATTAAGAGAGCAGGAAGACATATGCCTTGCTGAGTGGCTCCTGGCTGGCAAGAGGCTTTGAGGAAACCTGGGCTCTTGTGGTCCAGCGAGTATGTGCTGCTTCATTTCTAATTCTACCCTCATATGTCCGTAAGCCTAAGCTGGCTGCCACCCATATTTTCTACCTGGATAGTTTTGAAGGCTTCATGTGTTTCTCTTCCTCAGTCTCTCCTGACTTGACGATGTAATTAATGCTTTTGTTAAAGACGAAGCTAAGATGCTGAACTATTTGAGAAGGCTGCTGAAGACTGAGCTCCTCAGGGTGTCAAGTTGCCCTAATGTCCAGCAGAACCTGCCTCCCCAGGGGGCAAGACTTGACAACAGACTGGCTGGAGAGGTTTTGGTAACTGACTGAACACATAAGGTTCAGTCTTATTCTGGTCCTCCAAACAGAACCAGAATAAAAACTACCCTGGCAATGTGTAACACCTGAGGAACAAGATGTGGTATTTTAAAATTCTTCCTGGTGCTGCTGAGTAATTCTAAAGTTGAAGTTGTGCCACTGTATTGCACAGAGGTAGGCCAGAATCACAGTTGGATGAAATAGCTGTGACGTCAGATATGTGTGTTTCATGGAAACCTAATTCATGGTAATGTATCCTGATTGGATTAATTGTGTGAATGAGAAAGAAAGCAGGCCATCAAGTCTCCTACAAAAAACACACTAATTTCTGATGAGGGGAGCAAATGATACTGAGTGTGGACACAAAGGGCTAGCGTTTGTGCCAGTTGCTGCCTCCCACCTGGCACAATCAGTGGTTGAGAGCATGGGTTCTGGAGCTCCATTGCCTCGGTTCAAACCCCAGCTACACCACTGCTGCTTACGTGACCTTGGGCAGCTTGCTTAACCTCTCTCTACTTAAGCTTTCTTATCTGAAGAGAGAAATAGTACTTACCCGTGGGTTTGTTGGAAAGATTGTTAATCTAATATGCTTAGAATACTTTATTCTCTCTGACTCAGAAAATTATGTTTTGTTTTGTTTTTACCCCCTGAACAACTGAATTATATATCTTTGTGAAAACTGAAGTTGGAATGGAGAATTTCTTTGTCAAAATTGGACACTGCTTGTCTACCTGAAAAATGTTAATCATTCAGGCACTTAATATTAACAAAGCCAGCACATGTGCCGTGCTCATGCTAGAACAGACAGGGAGTTACTCTCTGTTCTCCGCCTGGAAGCCTGCAGTTTGGTTTGGTCATGCCGACCTCCTCTGGTCTCATGGAAGTCTTCTCCACCCTCCCGCAGCCTCCCTACCAAGAGGGAGCAATCCTTCCCCCTGCGGTCAGCATTATAGCAGGAGGAAGTGGGAAGGGAAGGACCACCAGTACTAACCTGGGTGACCAGGCTAGAAATGAAGTCTTCCGTGTGTGTGCGTGTGGCCCCATACTATCCTTGCCCACATAGCTGGGCAGGTTGCCATGGTTACTCCCCTTCCCGCATCCTTCTCCTGTCCTGGAAGGAAGCCTGCCACTCTAGGGTAAGCAAAATCTGAACAAATTGCTTCCTGGTCTAAAAATGGAAGTTACTTTTTTAAGAAGTAAGGTAGACTCTCCTCTCCTCCTACTTCATCCTTTTCTTCTTCTTCTAAACTTATTTTAATCCTAATACTTAATTGTCTAACTCTTGCTAAATTTTATGTCGTCAAGAAAGCAAAACATTAAGGCTTATGAAATTTCAGGAACGTAAGAGCTATTGCCTCAATGTAGAAGAAGCCTGGCAATTTTTCTCTGCTGCCAGAATTTATACAAGCTGGCTAAGGGCAAGTGACCTTTGACCGCCTTAAATGGTATGAATTCTGAGGGAATGAGGTAGGCTGAGTCAGTGTTCAGTTATAGGGAAGTTACCAGGAGGCAGAATGCGTGAGGGCTGTCGCTTAGGGAACACAGAGTAAAAAATAAGAAGTAACAATCCTGGAGAAGCAGGGTTGGAAACACTGTTCAACCTGGAAGCAATTTGGGTGAGGAATACGTGATTTAACCTTTTCTCTGGTTAAAAAGCTGCCTATTTCTCCCTTGCAATGTGATGCAAAGTGTTACTCTGAAACAGACTTAGACCTTTTATATGACAGGTGAAGTGCTGTAAGTTCTCAATTAACTATCAGATTCATTCAGTCTTTCAAGATTGGACGCTCAGTTAGCTTGGTGTCAATTTCACAGATAAGGAAAACTCATCTAAGACAGTGGTTCTCAGAGTCTGTTCCCCAGACCAGCAACATCAGCATCTTCTGGAAACTTGTTAGAAATGCAAATTCTTGGTTACCATCCCGGATTCACTGAACCAAATTCTAGCAGTAGGGCCTATCCTGCTGTATTTCAACAGATCCTCCACCTGATGTAAGAGTAACTTTCATAATTCAGTTGCTCAGTGGAAAACATAGCAAAGTAGCTGAATTCCTACAGTCA